ATGGATCTCTAGTTGGTGGTAACCGGCCTTAAGGTCCAACTTGGAGAAGTACTTGGCGCCGCCCAAGAGTTCGAGAAGATCGTCGATGCGTGGGAGCTGGCCGACATTCTTAATGGTTTAAGCGTTAAGCTTACAATAGTCAATGCATAAGCGCAACTCCTTGTTCTTCGTCCGAACGAAGAGAACGGGTGCACCATGGGGTGAGCAGCTAGGGCGAATCCAACCCTTGTTAATGAGGTCATCGAGTTGCGTTCGTAGCACTTCGAGTTCCTCCTCGCTCATGCTGTAGATACATCCGGGCGGAGGTACGGCCCCATCTTCGAGGATGATCTCGTGACGAATTGGCCGATTCAGTATGATTTCGACGGGGGTTTCAAAGACGTCGCCATAGGAGTAAAGAAGCTTGACGATACGTGAATCCGGTGGTTGTTCCACCACTGGTGCGTCGGGAGGAGGGAGGGCGTGCAAGAAGCAAATGCCCATTTCACCCACGTTGTTTCGTGCGACTGAGTTGCGAATGCTTGCCGCAGAGACCATGTGACAACCAATCAAAGGGTGAGGTGGGGGGACTGTACATGGCAAAGTACCCCGTTCCAGTCACGAACGTGAACGGTGCGGCGGTAAAAGTTCACCGGGTGGTCCTCGTTGCGCAGCCACGACATGCCCAAAATCATGTTGAACTTTGTGTCCAATATGTCAAAGGACACAACCTCGCGTGCATGCGGGGCGAAGTACACGGGGACGGAGTCAATGCATCGGTTAATGGACATGTGCATACGACCGTCGGCCAACATGACTTGTGTGGGCTGCGACTTCCTTCGAACGCGTGGCCCAAGGCTGGCACGCGCCATGAAGTTTTGGGTGTGGTTGCGAGTAGCTCCACAATCAATCAAGGTGCTGCAGGTCGCCTTCCCGATCTGAATGCGGATGTAGAGTAACGGTGCGTCGATGTTGTAGTACCGTTGCGTGGCGTACTCACAGTCAATCTTCGCAATGTACTCGGGAAGGTCAACAACCGGTACTCTTCCATCAACGAAGTTGGTACTGCATAGTGCAAGTAGTTGCGCAGTTCTGCCATTAAGGCATTGCAATGCGGCTTCGGCACGGAACCAGATGGGGGAAGAGGCATCCATTGGAAATCCTCCAGCGTCAATCGATCGAGGTCCTCAAGTCTAGACCATACCGATGAGTCCCTAAGTAGTGTCGACGAAGATGTTGGTTCACTTGGCGATGGTGATGAAGTCGCGCATGCATATGACTCTTGCCCGTGGAGAAGTTGGTCCAATGGAGGGACCAACTGGGCAACATAGTCTTCGTAACTTGCTTGAAGATTTGCAACAAACACAAGTTTCCCGAATGTGGAGGAGGTTGCTAATGAGGCAACCATATCCAGTAGTGTAGGAAGTGGAGTCGCATCACTTCCCGCGAAGCTCAGCTTCTCGAGCTTTGTCGTGGGCGGACATCTTCTTTGCCTTTGTCGGGGCATCGCGACGTCGTGTGCTTGGTGCTATTGCACCAATAGTAACAGTTCCACTTCAGGCAGAGCTTGTGTTGCTCCTCTGTGAGGCGAAACTTCTTCCACAACTCATTCGGTTGTCAGGCTTCCGTTGTTGATGCGGATTTCACCTTTTTCTTCTTGTTGTTCCGTCGTGGTGGAAGGGCGTTGACTCCGTCGCCTTCACTAGACTCGTGAGTCAGCGTGTTACATGCCAAATGGGCAATGTATGTATAGCCAAGGATCCGCAATGTGATAAAAAGGACTGAATGGACAATGTGGTGTTAGTGGAATCTCAACAAGCAATGTACATCCTGATACATACAAAATGGCACCTTGTAGCGCAGTGGAAGACTTAAATATAAGCCCTGACCTGACCGGAACTGACCTCTCTCACGTAGTACAACACAGCGCAGCGGAATGCTAGAATACCAATGACTAGTCCAATCAATGTCGCATGCAGAGCAAACATACATCATCCTCATCACAAGGTGTGAAGGGGCCTGGCGCTACACACAGGAAGAATGCGCCAAAAGAGGGGGAAGATGGGAATGTCATCAACACCAATGTCGAGTCAGGATCCAAATGTCACCAATCCCACTCTCTCGTAGTCTGCTGATGCAGTGAAGTCAGGTAGCAAGAGGGTGAGGGGTTGATGGTGGACTGAGAAGAGGAAGAAGAAGAACTTGTCTCTCTCTCATGTGCCAGGTACTAACATGTGAAGATGGCGTTGTGTTGCAGGTACCTCGACGGCAAGCTGGAGCTATGGCGCTGCAGCTAAGTCTCCCTGGCCTCCGCCCAACCTCGATCTCTCTCCAGTGCTACTCTAGCTCCTAATAGCGCCCAACGCTGAAGACTACTGCTAACGCTATTACTACTACTGCAGCTCGCCTCTAGAGTGCTGCTGCCGAATCCTGAAGGCTACCTCCTACCTCTTGAACTACCTACAGCCTGCAGGGCGGGCCAGTCTTATATAGTGCTAGCCCGTCCACGAGGCTGCTCTTGCCAATGCCAAAACGTGCCAGACTGTGGCGTTGAAGCTCAACTAGGGGTTGTCTTGAAAACAGGCCCAAAATGGTCTGTGCTAAAACCCTGGTCTGGTGCCTAAGTTTCAGGGCAGGTTGATCTTATGAGGGCCTGAAAATGGCCCTCTGTTTCAAGCTGAAAAGACTCAGGGCCTGGAGGGCCCTGTTTTAGGCTGAAACGACACAGGGCCTGTAGGCCCTTGTTTTCAAGCTTCCAGGCTGAAATAACACAGGGCTTGTAGGCCCTTGTTTTCAGGCTTTTAGGCTGAAAACGACACAAAGCCTATAGGCCCTTGTTTTCAGGCTTTTGGGCTGAAAACAACACAGGGCCTGAAAATGGCCCTCGTTTCAGGCGCAGCACGTTGCAGGCGCAGCATGTAACACCCACCCCTCTAAAACCCTAGTCTGGTGCGTAAGATTCAGGGCAGGTCGATCTTATGAGGGCCTGAAAATGGCCCTCCGTTTCAGGCTAAAAAGACTCAGAGCCTGGAGGGCCCTGTCTTAGGCTGAAACGACACAGGGCCTGTAGGCCCTTGTTTCCAGGCTTCCAGGCTGAAATGACACAGGGCTTGTAGACCCTTGTTTTCAGGCTTTTAGGCTGAAAACGACACAGAGCCTGTAGGGCTGAAAACAACACAGGGTCTGAAAATGGCCCTCGTTTCAGGAGCAGCATGTTGCAGGGGCAGCATGTGACACCCCCCCCCCTCCTTATGAAATCTAGCCGGGTTGAGGGCGAAGCTGACAATCTGAAGGTGGAACTTGGACGCGGGTGTGACGTGGAGCCGAAGATACCGGCTTGCCTTGCATCTTGCGTTCGTGGAGTGTGAGAACATCCAAAGCTGTTGCTTGGAGTTCCGCACGGGTCAATCGACGGTCAACATTGTGGGTGCAATTCTCAAAGTTGACCAAGTATTCAGCCAGCCTGTTGCCGTAGCATCGTTGGGAGATGATGTTGCCGACCTCTTGAAAACCGTCCATAGTGGGTCTTGCGATCGTCGCCCGAGAAAATCGTCATGTTCCGTTGGCGTGCAAAGAGCCAACTTGGAGCAATGAAAGACCAGGTAGACGGGCAAGAGGGCGGGCACCTGAATGGTGAAGGAAGGTCCTTCGGGTGCATCCCCAGCGAGTGCCACGATCGGCCAGGGCCCCATCCATTTCGGGAGGTGCTTGTGAGAGATATGTTGTTCGAGGCTGAACTCCGCGTCGAAAACCCAAATGAGATCGCAGATGCGAAATGAACAAGAAAGACGCTGGCAATTGGCCTGTTGGCTCATGCGTTGCTGCGTCTTAGCCATCTGGTCGCGTGCCTTGACAAGTAGCTTTTGCATCTGACGCAAGAAAGAAGATGGCCATTGCTCTCGGCCGTGATTGTGTCCAACGGGGAAGTGACCGGCGAGCCGTGCTCGAACTCGAAGGGCAACATCCCGATAGCAGGGTGGATGGACGAGTTGTATGCCAACTCGACATCCGGCAGCCACTCAACCCAATCCTTTTGGTCGAGACGGATGAGAGTGTGAAGGAGAACCTGTGCGGTCTGATGCGCCCTCTCCGTTTGGCCGTCGGTTTGGGGGTGGCGGGACGAACTTGGTTTGAGAGATGAGCCCCTTTGTTTGATGAGTGCCAACCAAAAATCGGACATGAATAGAACCGGCGTAGAGAACCTCGACTAACTCTGGTGCCTTGGCATGATAGCGGCAAGGCAAAAACATGGCGAACTTGGTGAGTCGGTCGACCACCGTGAGAATCCCATCCACACCAGTCTTGTGCTTGGGGAACGGCCCGGTAATGTCCATTGCAATCGCTTCCCTTCAACGCAAGGGGACCAATAACGATCGCAACTCTCCGTACGAACGATGGTTGCGGGATTTGCAGTGTCGGCAAACCTCGCATGACTCGCAATAGCGTGTGACATCGCCGAGAAGGCCGGGCCACCAAAATCGCTCACGAAGTCGGCTAGTCGTGCGATTGACTCCAAAGTGTTCGGTGGCGGGAGCATCGTGGAACTCGCCAAAAGTCGTGTACGCAAGTGAGAGTCACTCGGTACGCAAAGAAGGTCCTTCCCCAGCGTGTGGACAAGCAAGTACCCCTCTTGGATCCGGTAGTGAGAAGGCGCCAGATTAGGAGAGGAGCAATTCGCATACTTGTCGCGAAACTCGGGGTCACCTTGGTAGTCGCGGATGAAGCTATTCTGCAGGTCGTTGCCGATCTCGAAGGTTGAGTAGACTGCGGTACAATGATCCGAACGTCGTGAAAGAGCATCCGCAAAACGGTTTGACTTCCCCGAAATGTGATCAGGAAAGAAGTCAAATTCGTCGATGAAAGCCATCCAACGGGCGATGGTGCTATTGACGGTGTCTTGGGTCTTGTAGAAGACCAACTGATTGTTGTCCATTACCCATCAGAATTGACTTCGACCAAGGAGGAAGTGCCGCCACCGCTTGAGCGCGTGGACGAAGGCTAGGAGTTCCTTCTTGCGTGCATCGTCAATGGAGTGCACGATGGGCACTTTCTTGCTGAAGTACTCGACCGGGTGCTAGTCCACGCCATCGTGTTGTTCGAGGACGACACCAATGCCATAGTCGGACGCATCCGTAGCGACGCGCGTTGGCGATAACGGATCGTGTATGCGCAAAATTTCCGCAGATAATAGCGCGGCTTTGAGAGTAAAAAATGAATCCCCCGCATCCTCCCCGAAGTCAAACGGTCGATCCTCGCATTGAAGCTTGGTCAAGTGGGCCGCAATCTTAGAGTATCCCTTGATAAAACGTTGGTAGTAGCCCGCAGGGCCAAGGAACGAACGGACATCCGTGACGTTCAGCAGCTCCTGCCACTCTTGGATGGCTTGAATCTTGTCCGACAACGGACGGATGCCCTTCGGTGTCACAAAATGGCCCAAGTATTCCAGCTCTTGCCAAACAAATTCGCACTTGTCGCAGTTGGCTTTGTACTTGGCGCCGCGCAGCGTCTCCAACACTCGTCGAAGGTGCTCAAGATGATCCTCCAATGACCGACTATAGACTAGAATGTCGTCTAAGTAGACCAGCACGAACCGGTCCAACATCGCACAAAACTCGTTGCTCATTGCCGCTTGAAAGGTCGTCGGGGCGTTGGTGAGGCCAAAAGGCATGACCACCACTCAAAACGCCCATACCACGTCTGGAACGCGGATTTACAGTGATCGTTCGGCCGAATAGAAATCTGATGGTATCCCCACTTCAAACCGGTAGGTGACTCAAAGATATCGGCGAACTCGTCAAGCAACCGCACCAACCGGGGGTCCGAAGACAAGTTCGTGGGTGAAGAGTCTGCTACCGCGACGGTCCGTAGGAAACATAGGCCGATTTTGTCGGGCTGCTCCTAAGTGCAAGTAGCCCGAAATGGCGTGGCCGTCACCACTTGGCATCGAATCGAAGGGTGCGGAAGTGGAATAGTACACGGCACTTCGGCGCCGAAAGCGTCGCGAACGGTAGGAGTCCGCTGGTGGAAGTTGACTGTGTGATCCGCACTTGCAAGCCAAGGTATTCCCAAAATAATGTCGAAGTCCGCGTCCAAAATGTCGAACGTCACCTGTTCGCATGCACGACGTGCGAAATACACCGGTACGGCCTCGATGTAGAGGTCGATACGTTGCTGCGTCCTTCCATCCGCCAACTTCATCGCCATCGGGTTTGCCTTCCTCCGAACTTGTGTGCCAAGGCCAGCCCTTTGCATAAAGGCTTGGCTCATAAAATTGCGAAATGCGCCTCTATCCAGCAAAGCGCTGCAGGACGCTTGCCCAACTTTGATGCGGACGGTGCGTTGTTGTCATCGTACGGCTGCTTGTGAAACTCGCTGGCCACCTTGGTAACATACGCAAGGATGTCCCCCACCGCAACTTCGTAATTCGTTGGCGAAGTTCGTGGTGCATAAAAGGATAAGTATGTGTGAAGATGAGAGCATAATGCTGCGCATTGCAGTCCCGGCAAGCGGCCCGTGGCCGGGAGAGGAAGCCATGCAAAATCCTCGGACGTGAGCGAGTCCAATACCTCTATGTTGAACTTGTGCACCGAATCCCGTGAAGAACCACTTAAAGACGATAAGTCACCGCTGCCGGATGGAGAAGATGCCACACACACGTCTTGTCCTTGAGCAAGAGTACCGAGCATAGGAACGAGTCGGGCAGCATAGTCCGCATAAGAAAATAGAGGAGGACTATCGACGTCCGCATGTGCCTCAGAACGAAGGGCGGTCACCCGCGAAGCGACCGGTTTCGAAGGCGTCAAGAGTGTCGTCGAGTAACTCCCGACGGTGCTCGATTTCCCGATTTGCCTTTGCCTTTCGACGTGCAGCCCATTGTGTCGTGGAGATCGTTGTTACACCACAGACAATAGCGGAATCTCGTGCGTGCCTTGTACACTTGTTCGGAGAGACCGTAGTGGGAGCACGGGGCTGAAGCTGTTGTGCCAAGCCCGAGAATAAATGCAGTGTTTGTCTGCGTCTTGCCGCGTCCTCGGCCTTTGTCGAGGCGGCCACCATCCCGGGCGGTTGCGAGTCTGTCCCCTTCATTGGCAGGCACGGCCTCGCTAGAAGGGTCGTTTGGCGTTGCCCCGCGACCACGACCACTTTCGGCGGATGCCGATCTCTGCTCGGGCCTTTCGCAGGCGAACGGTAGAGTTTCTTGGTCTCCTTGTTCGTGACAATGATCTGCGAGGCCTTGTTGAAGAGCTCCGCCGTTGTCGTCAGGGTGTCCTCAACGTGAGTCAAGGCGTTGCCGAACGCCGGACATGACCTTGTGATGAAGTAGTGTTTGACGGCCTTGAAGCCCCATCTGAATGTCTGGGACGGATGTCAAGCGTTGGTACTCAACAATCGAGTCAACACTCGGCAGCGTGCCTTTTGGAAGGTCATCAATTTGTCCATTGCCTTTATCTTCGGCGACTCTACTTGGAACCGCTTATGCCACGACGCCTTTACATCATCCCAACCGATCTTGGTGTATAAGTCGGCAGTTACCACCCTGTACTTGGACAAGAGATTGTCCAACCATGCTTGGCACGCGCCTCCCGACCGGGAATATAAGGAGAGAAGGTTAACTGAGACCCTAATTTTCAGACCACTTGCCATGCCATTCATATGAAAACCAAAGGGTCATTTTAATCAAACTTGCCACCAATTTGTAGAGTGGAGACCATACTAACTGCAAAATAAAATCCAAAAATAAAAAACAAAAAACATATAAAACAGCAAGGCAAAAGTGCATTTCATGAAATTTCGCCGACATCTCAATTTTAGAAATCTTGAGAAATTTCAAAAATCTTAACAGAGGAAATTCCAATTCTCCAAATGACACAAAAATTTGGCACACACCAACGTTGAACCAAAACAAGAACAGGCAAAAAAAAAAAAAAAAAAAAAAACATAAAATTTGACCCCGAAACCCTAATTTCAGTTTTGGACTCGTTACCCAGGGCCTGAAAATGGGGGTCCCCGTTAACCATTTGTGAGTATAAGTACGCGTGATGCTTGTCCTCGCTGACGTGGTGTAGCTGCAAGCTCGAACTTGCGGAACGACGGAATCAGGTCCGTCTTCGTCCAATCGCAGAAGATCTCCTGACCATCGAACTTTGGAGTCGTCTCGCGCGGTGCTGGACTCGGGTTGGCGGTGGCAGCACAGATCCGCTGCTCCAGTTGTTGCATGGCGGTTTGCTGTAGCTGCGCGCCATCGTTGAGGGCTCCGACGTCGATCTCCAATGCATTGAGGCGATCGGAGGTGTTGGAGGAGCTGGCATCGGGGGCGGTGACGGGTCCTTGCTCCAGCTGTTGGAGGCGACTGTTGACTTGATCAAACGCCTGGTTGTGCATCTGAACCGCGTCGTTGAGACTGTGGATGTCCTCCTGCTGTGCAATGCACGTTGCCGGGAGATTCGTGAAATGGGAGAGGAGTAGAGCGATCTTGCTTTCACTCTCTTCCATTTTACCATTCTCGGCCTCGGCCCGCCAATCCATTGCCATTGTGAGCAAGGCTCACTCTCCGTTGAATATCTTCTCGCGTCGTTGACTTCGTTCCTCATCGACAACCTTTGCTGCTGCCTCGTCTTGCTGGCGCTGCTGTTCGATTCCCAACAGACGTGCCTTCTCGGCATCCTCTGCCTTCTTTTTCTCTGCGGCTGCTACCTCATCCACCAATTTTTTGGCTTCAGTAATGAAAGCCAGCATCCAGGCCTGATAGGCCTCGGCCGTATCCCCGGACTTCTGATCCATGTCGGCTGTTTGTAAGCGCGTGCGCATAGACCAGGCCGTATCCCCGGACTTCTGATCCATGTCGGTTGTTTGTAAGACGTGGCACTCCCTGTTGTTGACGTGGCACTGTTCGGCTGCTGACGTGGTGCGGCTGTCGGCTGACGTGGCCTGCTGCCGTGGCCTGCTGCCGTGGCCTGCTGACATGGTCTGCTGACGTGATCTGTTGACGTGGCCTGCTGGCGTGGCCTGCTAACGTGGTCTGCTGACGTGGTCTGCTGACGTGGCAACTCACCAATGCCGCTGCAAGGGGTACCCGAAGACAGATAGAGAAGATAAGACCAAAGGGGGCAACAACATAGGTGGGGAGGGGTGGGTGGAATAAATCGCCCAGATAACGAGCCACTAATCAAAAAGACAAGTTTGAACTTTGCAAGTTCTGTACGTCTCCCGATTCCCCCTAAAGTGCAAAATTACCAATGAGAAAAAATTCGAGCTTTCATGACTGCAAATGATTATCGGATAAAAGAATTCGAAAAAAATAAAAAAATATTTGAAATTACTCAGATGAGAGTACGCGGCGACTACGCGCAGTTTGGAAAATGGTAACTGCAAGAGGGATTTCCCGTACCGTTCTTAAAAAAAAACGAATTTCGAAAATTAATAAAAATATATTTCGAAAATCAAAATTTTCGAAAGAAAGGTATTTCGGATTTCCAACAACGAAATTTCGAATTTTCAAAAGAGAAATGAAAACGGAAATTTCAGGAGTTCCGCTATTGCGATTTTCCACAACCGAAATAGCGGGAAAACAAAATCCAAGAAAAACAAAAAAAATCACGATTTTGGGGGCTAATTAGTATGCTCTAATCAATCAATCAATCAATCAAAACCAATTAACTACTTAGTCCCCGGACGCGGGTCAGATCAGGTTGTCCTGATTCACGTGCGGTGTTACGATACGAACTGTTACATGCCTAGTTGGGTAATGTCCGTACAGCCAAGGATCCGCAATGTGATAAAAAGGACTGAATGGACAATGCGGTGTTAGTGGAATCTCAACAAGCAATGTACATCCTGATACATACAAAATTGCACCTTGTAGCGCAGTGGAAGACTTAGATATAAGCCCTGACCTGACCGGGACAGACCTCTCTCACGTAGTACAAAACAACGCAACGAATTGCTAGAATACCAATGACTAGTCCAATCAATGTCGCAATGCAGACCAGACATACATCATCCTCATCACAAGGTGTGAAGGGGCCTGGCATTACACACAGGAAGAATGAGCAAGGTCCAGACCATACACAAACGAAGAGGAGGGGATCAGACGAAGAAGAGGGGGACGATGGGAATGTCGTCAACACCAAGTCTTCGGTACAAGTCCCAGATAATCCCTCGTCAAATGTCTGAAGCCCAATGTCGAGTCTGGATCCAAATGT